TCTTTGCCGTATTCAAATGGAATTGGATAATTATTTCCAAGTTCACTAATTATATACAACAAATTTTAATATTTTTAGGGTGTCAGTAAATTAAGATAATAGGAAAATAAAGGGTTTTCTGAGAAAACTTTGTAAATACCTTAACGCTCATAGCATTTAGTTCATTTTATTTGTTTTATCTTAATTAAAAAGTCACGATTAACCAATTATTATAAGATGTGACATTTAGTAATTGGTTATCAATATATTAATTAACTATCCCATCGCGGCGGGATAATTAATATCTTTTATGAAAAAAATTGTTTGATAAGTTTATGAAATTTTACTTTTACATTTAAAATAATATAAAAAGGGTGTCCAGTAATACATTTTCAGTATTGCTTGTTTTATAAATAAAAAAAAAATGTCCCCTAAAGTAGAGTTAATTTTTTGTTTAAAAAAATTAATTATGGGAGCAAATGATTAGGAAGAGGAGAAATTATGTTAGATTCCTAAACTTTTTGTTCAAATTGCGTCTGTGGTTTCACAAACACTTCAGTTAATTGTTTATACGATAAGCCTTTTAACTTATAAGTTTTATTTAANAGTTAATTGTTTATACGATAAGCCTTTTAACTTATAAGTTTTATTTAATGAAAAAACTTTTATTATACATACTAGTTCCAATAAGAAAATTCTAGACGAGTATTATCGACAATTAATGCTTTAGGAGTCAGGAAAAAACTTTTGACTGCATTATTTCTGAAGTCATCAAGATTATGTTGTGTTAATTTACTGATGATTTGGCCTATGTATTCAAAAAACAATTTAATAGTTTAACGAAAGACCAATTCGTAACAAATTGTCGGTTATAATATGATAACTATTCTTAAATAATCATTGAAGAAAAAAACATTACAGTAAAATATTAATTTTACTAAGAATGTAATCTATTTAAATTCGTATCAAAGCTAAAAGATTTTTCACATTATTAAAATGTATATTTTTTTAACAATTATATATAACATTAAATTTTTTTACCAATCAAATCAATCTTATATCTTATATCTTGAAAATACAATCAATTGTGCTATTTCAATTTCAAATGATCTATTTTTAGTCTAGTTATAACATTCAATTTATACTAAGTTAAATATAATTGTTATGATCAGGAATTTAAAATTAAATTTTTAATTGGTAAATATTTTTATAATTTAAACTAACCTTTACTGGAATGTAATGTAAATAGTATAATATAAAATCCGATCATATTTAACTAAATTATAACTTTAGTGCAGACAATAAAACACTTTTT